AAATCTAACAGGTTTTGGAATATCCAATGAGTTATTTAATAAGTTTTGGAATGTCCAAGAATTTATTTGTTCTAAAAAATTGTCCAACAACTTAATAATTTCAAATACTAAAATCCATTGGGTCTTTTTAGACTTTTTTCAGTAAAATATTATGTAACACCCCAAAGCCCAAAGCAACGAACTAGCCCAATAACTTCGAATCCAACTTAAAACCATGGTGGAAGTTATTGGTAGACCACTACTTGAGACTTATAAGGAGTTAATAATTCTCACATTCTATCAATGTGGTACGAGTTGTTACATATTATGGTATGAGTTGATTTGTTTAAAATTTTGAAAACATTTATTCTATTAAATACAATTTAATTTGATTGTTTTATTGTAATGGTGGAAAAAACATGATTTTATTGTTTTAATGTAATTAAAATTTTAATTTAAACAAATCAAATCAATAAAACCATATATTATTTTACTTAGAATGAATAAAATAAGAAATAAAACTTAATTATGTTAAAACCGATTTAATTTTATTGTTATTTCTTATCATTACAATAAACAAGCTTATTATTGATATTTTCACACCAAAATCACTGAAAAACACTAAGAAATGGATTCCAATTATTTTTATTAATCTGGATATCCAACTCGCTATGCGAGCCGACTAATCTTAGGACGACCACTTGCTTTGCAGATATCCCAAAGTCACCTCATTTGAACCTACATGGCCACAAGGGGATTTTTATCCCTCATTGGATTTGAACATGTGACCTCTTGGTACTTTTGACCTTTGGAGTTAAGCTCAAACCAATTAGACACCACCCTTGTGGTTTGAATTCCAAATTTATCATCCTAAATTTAGGGTTTCCAATTTTCATATTGTTTTTCATTAAAAAAAAAAACTCAAAATCAACTATTTAGATTTTAACCAAACGAAAGTTTCATACATATTATCATCTTTGCAACTAAAATTGAACAAATACGTAAATAAACTTCTACCATATTTTCATATCCAATAGACAAAACTACTAAAACAATAAAATAAAATCGTATTTAATAGAATTATTTTTTCAATTTAAACAAATCAAATCAAAAAATAATATCTTATTTTATTTATTTTAACATCATTATATATACACACATTTGTGTGTATAAAAATTGTTTTTACTTTTTATAGGAAAAAGACAAAAGAATAAGCAAATTGAGTAAAATAACCATTGATTTAACAGACTTGACGGAGATGTTAGTTAGAGACACCATGGTCAAAATAACTGAATACTACAAGAACCAGATACACAATAAACATATTGTAGGGACCTTAGTAAAAAAATATCAAAATACAGGGACCAAATCCACAATTCACTCTTGAAAATATGTTAAAACCATTTGTTTATGTAATAATCAGTCAATTAAAAAAGTAAATAAATTGTTTTTATAAATATCAAGTATTTGATTTTATAAGAATGAAATTCTATTACATTCTACGTCTTATAAAACAAACACACCAAAAATTCAAATCCAAATATTTCAAAATCATTCCACCAAATCAAATGTCTCCTAAGGGATTTCATCGACAATTTTTCACTACTAAATGGGAAGATTTATGCCCACGGGCATTTTTTTCCTGGAAAATATGTTGCTAAAGGGTGATTCGTCCCAAAACCATCACAAAATTGGTGGGTAATTCAATACGTGATAGATTAACTATGTATTCTCCGAGTGACCCATTGGTGTTTTCTTAGAAGACATCAGATTATTTCTACCGAATCATTGATATCTTTCAGGTGACCGAAATTTCCCTAGGTGATTTTTGTGGGTAAAAGTCATTTAATTTGTTTTGTAGTGTTTCCATTGGTAACTATCAACTGATTTGTTCGTCAATGATTAAAAATCTGCCGCTAATCACAATCACCAGTCACACTTTCTCTGTCGATGAGATCCGACGGTAATCCACCGGTGGTGACTTTTGCCGCCGGATTACCGACGAAATTTTCTGTCAGTGACTGAAAATCCTCCGTTATCACAATCACCGCCCATACTTTCTCCAACATGAGATCCGACGATAGTTCACAGGTGATTGTTTTTTCTGGCAGATTACCAATGTGTGTTTCCCAGCAGTAAAGTCTCATTATTTTGTAGTGAACACATGGGTATGCATATGTATATGTATATGTATTTGCGGCTATTAGAATATGAATACATGCTTTTTAATAGCAAATGCAATATGTATGATCTCTAATATAAACTTTATGATGTTATTTTTAGGATCATGTAATACAATAATAAAAAATAAGATTCTTTTTTATATTTTTAGATTTTAAATAGTTAATGAACACATATCATGATTAACTAGAAGGGTACTTACACAATGCAGCGAGATATATCTCAATTTTAATGTTTTGTTTTTTTTTTTTTGTCTCAGTTGATGTTATAAAAAATTAAAAAAAAAATATTGATATTAGTACCAAAATGACTTTAAATTTTCTTCTTTTTTGTGTATTTATTTAATTCATTTTTTTGGTTTGATAATATAATCTTTGATAAAGATAATAATTAAGTATTTTGTTATAACTCAATGATTATCTTAATTATATTTTCAATTTTTTTAATTTAAAATGAAATGTTTATCCTCTATTTGATTATGTTTATCTGCAGTTAGTTACACGAATTCAAATATGAAGCTTTAATAAGTTGTACTTATACAAAATTTACTTGTAATCTTGATTTTTAAGTAATATGCATCAATAAACGGTACTTCATGCATAAAAAATGGTTTTAAGAGTTTTTGTCAAATGCTTTATAATATAGTATAGATAGGTGATTAGTTCAATGTTTGTATAATTTTACACTAATTAACACCAAATGTTTAACTCAGAAAATAAGCACCGATTTGTAAACCAAATTGCTTTTTTCTTGATATAAATGATAATAACCTCCGGAAAAACCATTTATAAATAACCGATAAAAAATCACTAAAAACATGAGTTGAATTTATCGTCAGATCACACTAGAAAGATAAAATAAGAACACAAATTGATAATTGGTGCTTTTAAGGGATTTGGATTGGAATAGATTTGAAATCATTGGTGTGTTTGGTTTGTAAAATTTGTAATGGAATTGGATTACATTATTTATAAAAAAATTATAAAAATAATTAAATTACATTTTTATTAATCGATTATTACAAAGCATATGTTTTAGACATTTTCAAAACCTTATTTCATACAATCCTATGAAATCCCGAGCATCCCCTGCTGTTTTCAAAATCTCATGTTTGTAGGATTTCAATTAAATCCTAGGATTTTAAATCCGGACAATCCAACAAACCAAATATGAGATTAGAATGGATTTGAAATCCAAATCCCTTCAAATCCATTTCATTCCTACAAATCAAACGAGACCTAATTGATCATAAAAGATTAATAAATATCCTAAGAGTGTAACAATGTTTTTAAAATGTGGAAGACAAAGACAACATGACTCGTTCAATGATTAAAATACGAGCTATGCATTTTTTGTGGTGCCAATGCATTTGTTGTGCCAATTTTTTGAAAGATGAAAATTTTTAAGGGTTGAAACGTAAGTGCTCTATAAATTTAGGGTTTGGGCGTAATTACTCGATTTTTCTTAGGCTAAATGTACATCTATTTGCAACATTGAATCGATTAACCATTGCTTCTTGGGTGCAAATTCATTCTCGGTGTCTGGAATCAAATATTGCGTTGGTGGAATATGAAGGATATCTACTTGCAATCAGTTGACGATATCGCCACATTAGACAATCATAGCTACATTCATACTGCATATATACAGCTATGGCAGACGATACTTTGGGTTGCCTTATATACAATATGGAAGACTCGAAATCAACTCATGTTTAATCCTCATCCGTCGGGGCATTTGGATATTGTCTTTGAAACCCAACTCTTCTCGCATTTTTGGCTTTCAACTCGGGCGAACTTTCCTTTCTCTTTGGTCCAATGGCGTAATGGACCTATTTTGTGCTTCTGTTTCTTTGAGTTTCTTTTAACACATGTGTAGTGCTGTTCTTTGTCTATAGGTTTCTACATCTTGTAGAATCCGTGTATTCTTTTCTTGGTTTTATATTATATACGTCTTTCAACATGAAAATGTTTTTTTAAATATATTTTTTTAGTATATAATTTAATTAATTTCATGTGATTTTGATATAAATGGGTATATATGAAAAAAGTTATAAAAAAAACCCAATAAACTTTCTCATTTTGAATGGTTTAGTCTGTAAACTATTTTTAAATGAAAAAACAATTAAACTTTTTCATTTTAAATGACTACAAGGGTGCTCGCATAATATAGCGAGATATATCTCAATTTTAATGTTTCGTTTTATTATTTATCTATGTCGATATAATACGGTTTTTAGTGGTTTTGAGAAAACGATAATGTTTTTATTTTTGAATAAAATATAAATTTAAACGTATCATAAAGATTTGGAAAAAAATATCGATATTAATATCAAATTTACTATTTAGGGTTCTGGTTTTTTGTTTAATCTTTTTAATTCAATATTTTATTTTTAATTTAATTTAGATTTAATAACAAAATAATTTATTTATCATTTGATAATATAATTTTTWTAAAGATAATAATTAAGTATTTTGTTATAACTAATGATTATCTTAATTATATTTTATATTTTTATAAATAAAATGAGATATATATCTCGTATTTGATTATGTTTATCTATAGTTAATTACACAAATTCAAAAATAAAGCTTTAATAAGTTGTACTTACGCACAATTTACTTGTGATCTTGAATTTAAAATAATATGCATCAATAAACAATATATTTATACATAAAAAATTGTTTTTAATAAATTTTATCAAATATTTTATAATATAGTATTGATTAAATAAAAAAATCATTAAATTCTCATTAAGTAATTAAACTATTTTTTAAATAAAAAAATCATTAAATTCTCACTGCCGTATATAAATATCTAACAAAAAAACACTTCTCACTATTTCCCGTCTCCTTGGACTCTACTGGCGCTCCCTCCTCCTTGAATCGTCCCTGGTCCTATGTCAATCAGATTCGTTGGTCGCCGTGTTTCCAATTTTATCCGTACCACATCTGTTCTTCATGTCAGGTAAAAAATTGCTATCTGATTCATGCATTTTTGTTTTTAGGGTTTTACTATTGCTTTTGTGAAACGATGATTTCAATGAAATGATTACAACTATGCTCAATTTTAGGGGTTTGATGTTAATAAGCAGTAAGTTCTGTTAACTGATCAAGATATTACTCTGCGTTCCTAGAAAGGCTATATTTTGATATGGATGTTAAATGGATTACATTTCAACTTAATATTGCTTAACACGTTCATGTTCATCATTCATAACAAGTATCACAAATAGCATAATGTTGGTGATTTAATACTTGTATTTGGAGGTCATGGGTTTTGACATGAAAACTCAAACTGTGGCCCATTGAAAGGGGGGGGGGGGGAGGATGAAGGTAGTAGTTTTCTATGATCAATTTGAAATTTTGGATGCACCAAGGATATTTCGGAGTGGAACATGATTAATGGGGTTGATGATACATTTCTTTTTCTGAAATCAATCTATACTCGATCGCCAAATTTGAGATATGTTTTGATTTCCATGAAAACAAATCCACGGAAGGATTCAAAACAGATATATGGGCATACTTAGATCAAGGGGAAAAATACCCCATTTTAAATCATATAAAAGCTAATATTGTTTCTAATCCTTGAGCTGAGAATCAAATCATGTGAATTTTTGGATTTGGAAAAAGACCGATTAGATTGGAAAAGTTAATTTGTATCTCTAGTTTTGCAGTGGCTGTGGTATTAATTGGATGACGTTAGCAGAACATCATTAACCGTTAGCCACTGTTATATATTACATTTGGGATATTAAAGAACTTTGTTGATAGTATTGTGTTTAAATGCAGGGATTCGGTAAGACAGAATCATGGGGTGGACATAAGATGCATAAACCCAAAGGCCAATCTGCATACTTGTTCTCTTACATGCTTTCCATTGGCAAACCAAATAAGCCAAAAACCTGTATTTGTGCCTTATAGCATTCATTCATTAAGGTCACATGTTCGATTAGTGAGCAATTCTGCCGTTGAGATGACGATGGGTAAAGATGGTGTCAGGTTTTCTGTCGGTAAACAGCTTGAAAGACATGAAGGTTTGAGGGAAAGAGAAAAGAAACCAAGACGGATTAAACCGTCTAAAAAGACCAAACTCAACGAACTAAGGTTTTACCGTTTGAAGGCAAAGAAAAAGATGAGATCTCCGAATCCAGAAATTAGGATTTTATACAAGCTTGGAAAGGTTAGAGTCGTTTATAGCTTGCTGTCTATATAATGTTTAATTATCAATTAAGTATATACTCTCTAATCCAGAGAGAAGGTACATTTTGATTTTCACTTTCACTTTTGAGGTCAAATGAAGAAATTCGAACTACATATGGCACTCTCATTGATAAAAGGATTGAACTATTTATTACTTTTTGGGGGATTTTATCCATACTAGGTTGGACCTCAAAAGTCAAATTATATACCTCTTTTTTGGAACAAAGGGAGTTGTCAGTATCAGACAATAACTATTGCTAAATTAGTTTTAACATGTATTTGTATGCCTCTCCAGGCCAAAAGAAAGGAAGAATGGTTGATTGAGAAATTAAGGAAATTTGAGGTACGCAAAGCCGCAGCTGAAGTACATGATCCTGAAAGTTTGACAGAGGAAGAGAAGTTCTACCTGAAGCGAACAGGCGAGAAAAAGAAACATTATGTACCAGTCGGGAGACGTGGAGTATTTGGAGGAGTTGTTCTTAATATGCATCTCCATTGGAAGAACCATGAGACTGTTAAGGTTGTTTGCAAACCTTGTAAGCCTGGACAAATTCAAGAATATGCTGAGGAGCTTACTCGACTAAGTAAAGGCATTGTGATTGACATAAAACCTAATAATGTCATCATATTTTATCGTGGAAAAAATTATGTGCGACCAGAGATTATGTCACCTCCTGACACCCTGTCGAAAGCAAAGGTACTCCTTTTTCTTCTGCAAGTCCACATGTTTTTCGTGCTAAGTCGTTTTATTATATTATAAAGTTCTTCATTATGTTCCATTTCTTTATGGAAGCAGTAAAGATGTGCTACCATTTTTTAGAATGAATTTATTACTCACAAAAAATGTTCATTTGCAAGTCCAAAGTATATATAGGCAAATATGGTAGTTTGTAAAATGATACATTCACAAATTTACCACTAAAGTAGTTTGGCTCTCCCTGGGGATGTTTTGGGTTCAAGCTATAAATTTCGATATGTGCTATTTTTCTATGTTATATGCAAGTTGCAACCTTTTTTTCTGTTTCAGTTATTTTTGTTGAGAACCGCTGGGTTTTGCGCTCAATCTATTCTCTTCTGCTATGGAATTGCAGGCTTTAGAAAAATACAAATACGAACAGTCCCTTGAGCATACAAGTGAGTTCATTGAAAAACTGGAGAATGAGCTGGAAGAGTATTATGAGCATAAAGCACGGTTTGCTAAAGCGAAGGAAAGTTCACCAATGGATTAAGTGGACGATGTTTAATGGTTCCGTCTTTGTGCGTATGGAGGATAAATGGGACATGGATCTAGTTTTTGCATTGTTGGTTGATGAATAATGGGTCTACTTTCGTCACTCCCACTGCTGTCTGTTGACCAGGAAGAAGGCAGAAGAATGAGTTTGATATGCACACTTATGTTCAAATTGTGGTGTGAGTTGTACATGTTTCAACCAAAGTCGCGGCATCGATGGATGAATCTCCTATGGCATGGCTCTGTTTCTTGGCAAAACTAGTAAGTCTTCACTTGGGTCTTCTCTTCACTTTCAGTAATGGGTGTGTCTAGTTCAAGTGAGTTGGTATGATTATCATAATGTAACATGATAAATCAATTATGATGAAAAAAAATCATTTTTGTTATTGATATCCTGGTGACAAACTGTCCTGATATGCACATAGTAATGTTTTCCGGATAGCCTTTTATTAATGGTTAGTTATAAGATACAGCCCTAATCTTGGAGGAGAAATGAAATTTAGGTACTAGACCAAAGCGGGTTTTCTTGCAATTGAGAATCTAGGTGAAAAAGATTTGAGATTAGAAAATAGATCTTGTTGGTGTTGGATGGAAAAAAGGTACCTTCTTAGTTGCCCTTTACTTTAAACTTCAAACTTAGGGGACGTTTACTAAACACTTACTTGGTAAGTGCTTAACATATAAATTTCCTCATCGGATGAACATGAGAAGGGCCAAGAATCTTACCGGGTAAAAGCGATGAGAAGGATGGAGAGTCTTACCCGGTAAGTCAGATGACGACCCTTACCCAGGTAAGTGCTTACCTACTAAATTGCTGCATTCAATATGCTTTGATGTACTAAAATCTTACGCATCTAAATAAATTATAGTGTTGACTCCTATTGGTAAGCGTTTACCGGGTAAGCATTTGGGTAAACGGCCCCTTAGTTTACCAAAATTATAAATAATTGTTTATTTTTTATACGATTTTAACACCAGTTTTTTTTTTGTATTTATAATACTTTATACACTTTAATAGTCACTCATCCCCATGAAATTTGCCTTTGGGTGAAGTCAGGAAAGTTCTTGGGCCTCATGGTATCCAGAAGGGGAATAGAGGCAAATCATGATAAAATCCAGGCAGCACCACTGGCACTTAGCATCAAAGAGATGCAATAACTCATTAGAAGGGTTACAACACTCGGAAGATCATATTCGAAGCAAGGAGACGTGTCTTCTGTTTTTCAACACTCTAAAGGAGATGAAGTTCGAGTGGACCTAGAGTGCTAGGAACTCTTTCGCTGCCACAACCTAGAAAGGAACTATATATATACCTAGCACTCTCTGAGCTTGCCCTTAACGCCGTATAGGTTAGGGAGGAAACCATAATGCAGAGACCTAGTACTAGATGAGCAAAGTATTTAGCAGGATCTAAGGCGTACTACCAAGTACCAATCCTTGAAAAACTTCCTTACACTGTAGTGGTTCACACTCCTAAACTTGGACTGTAATTTAGTCACACACTATCATTGTGCTCATCAACCAACCTCTTAGAAGAATTCTTCAGAAATTGATGCCAGTGAACGGATGATTAGATGGTCTATAGAATTGGTACAATTCAACATCCGACATAGATCTTGCCCTTCCATAAAGGGCAAGTTGTGCTGGAATATGCTTGTTGTATTGTCAAAATGTGAGATATATGCTTGTTGTTTTTACAGGAGAATCTGACGAAGGTTTTGCAAAAGCTGGAAATGAGGGGTTGTGCTTTTAGGAAGCATACCTAAGGTGTACTTGTATCGTTATTCGTTGGTGGGGTGGTTGATGGTCGGTATCGATGGTGGGGTGGTCGATCAGGGTTGGGAACGGGAGAGTTTTCTACTTGCATTGTTCAATTTTTAAATGTATTATGTCATTTTTTTTCTTAATTCAAAAGTGCATCATAATATATCAAATTCATAATTAGAAGGTTTTGTTGGAAGAAGTTTGTGTACAAAATGCTGGCCTAAAACTCTATAAAAAACATTTTTTAGATTATGTGATGGAAATTTGGCATCAATGGAAATATCTGGTAGAGAGGTGCTCAAAGTTTTACGATGTTTTAAGAATTTGTTTTAATTATATTATAATTTATAATTAACTAAAAGAGTACTTGTACAATGCAGCGAGACACATATCGATTTTAATGTTCTATTTTATTATTTGTCTCTGTCGATGTTATAATACGATTTTATGTGTTATTAAGAAAACATTAATGATTTTATTTTTGAATAAAATAAAAATTTGAAAAAAAATATATCAATGTTAATATCAAATCAACTATTTAAAGTTTTCATTTTTTATGTAATTTTTTTAATTTTTTTATTATAATTTAATTTAAGTGTAATAACRAAATAATTTATTTTTGGTTTAATAATATAACATTTTATAAAGATAATAATTAAGTATTYTGTTAGAACTYAATGATTATYCTAATTATATTTTAGATTTTTTATATTTAAAATGATATATTTATTCTGTATTTGATTATGTTTATCTGCAGTTAGTTACACGAATTCAGATATGGAGCTTTAATAAGTTGTATTTACGTACAATCTATTTGTAATCTTGAGTTTTAAGTAATATGCATTAATAAATAGTACCTTATGCATAAAAAATGGTTTTTAAGAGTTTTTGTCAAATGTTTTATAATATAATATAGATATAGATTATATTTTTAATTTTTAGTAAAAAAATAGACAGAATGTCAAATTGACTAGTTTACTAGTCGTAGTTAATGGATTAGATTTTAAGTTGATAGCAAGGTACATTATAAGATTGCATTAAGCCCGGTAAGAAAGCCCATTTACGACGGCATTCTCCCCCGGAACGGCGAGTCGTCGAGTTTCTGGCCTCGTTCTTCGCGGAAACAAACCCTACGGCTACAGCTATGAGCTTGTCACTTTTACAGGGCTATTCATCTCCTGAAGAGGAACAAGATGAGCAAAGATATCTCGGTTCCTCCTCCGACGAAGAGGAAGACTGCCGGAAAGAGGATGTTTCTGGTGACCGTACAACCACCAACAATTTTAAAAAGCCCTTGTTCGATCCACCTAATCCCGCAGCATCTTCGTCGCTTCCCTCGGCATTCGTCGCTTTTTCTGAGGTAATCTCACTCTCTTTCTCGATCATTTGTTTTCATTGAAGTATGCGTTTCTCTCAGATTACTTTAAGAGAAGGATAGTTTTCTTTTGTAGTAATTAGACGGCTTCCTCCGAGATAGAGGTAGATTTTCGATGTTAAAAGTGAAGAGACTTTATTATTAGCGAAAGTGATTAAATTATTAGCGAAAGTGCAAATTGAAAAATGTAGATTGGCAGCAATGCCTAGTCGATTTTACATTAATTTCGTAGTATTCTTTGAAACGAAGTGTCAAGCTCTATCTTATGAATAAGACGGTTGTATTTTCTTGTTAAGAAAGTGAAAGAATTCTTCAATTAAACAGTGGCACATTGGATGCTATTCTTAAAGCTTCGGCTAACATCTGAGTACAATTAAATCTTCAGAAAACAAGGTCTATTAAGCTACAACTTATTGCTAACTAATAACACCTTATATCCTTAGTGGCAGTGCAGTACTGCAATAGATGACCTTGGCTTGAGTATCATTAGGACATCCTCCTGAAAGTTTATGGTGAAAGGCTATCCAAATAATTTTTGGAATTTGTTGAGTAGATCATAGGGCCTATTAGTAACACCGAGCTGATGACCACACACTTGGTGTCAATGCAACATAAACCTTGGCTTGAGGATCCCCAATGCAACCTCATGGTGAAAGGGGCTGGGAACATAGAGCACCCAGCTTGTGACTATTGTGCTATGACTATGAAATCCCTACCCCTTGGTAGAAACATCATCTAGAAATGGCAGAACCACCGAGTCAGCAACAAACCATTAGCACGACCAGTTTCAGGTCAAGTCCTGGAGGATGTCGTCACGATATGCTTGTGGTTGTGTGTTTGTGCTTGATGAAGGGTCCATTACCTGGAGCCCCTTTTAGATAGCTAAGTGCCCTAAGTGCATGAGTGAGTGCTTGAAAAAAACAATTGGAGGATGTTACTGTTGACTTAAGGCATGGCTTGTGTAATAAACTTGTAGGGATTAAGAAATTTGATAATTGAGTTAATAAAGTAATGCACTGGAAATTATTGGTGATAGATTAGCAACAAAAATTGTTATATAAGCATTATCACTAGTAGTTGGACTAGAAGCAGTGTTATATACATAAGAAAATTCATATCAATTTTGCATCTGAAAGAACTAAACTTTCACACAAAAGAATCAGAATGAAGATCTTTCTGTAGAACAAACGGACAGTTCAAAAATAGGGTGCACCCTGAGTTGAAGCCAAAAAGGTATTTTTCAAACTTCAAAAGTGATAGATTCTGTAAACTTTTAATGAAGTTTTGATAACTGAGTTAAGCTTTATAAAACATATAGGGGCAAGCCTTGGGACAAACAACGAGGTTAACTCGTGGAAATAGCTCTATCTGAAGGATATGTTGCATTCTTCCATCCCTAACCCTCAGCCGGAAAAAATTTAGTGTTGCAGGGTGCCAATTAAACTTTATAACATATAATACGATAGAGAAACATGGGAGTTCTTTTCGATAAAAAAAAGGGAGTAATATTATTTGTTTGGCAATTTCAGCATTCGTGAGGTTTCGTAACCTTGGTCTACATTTTGAACATAAGCAAAGAACAGAGTTTTATAATGTTCTGTCACCTGAGAAACTTATTATATGTATTTTCCTGTGATTATTGGAGATTTCAGGACCCCCACAGTTTCTGAACAACTCTGTTGGAGAGTCAGGATCAGCAGAAAAAGATAATGATGTGCAGCTGTGGCGGCATGGTCATCGGAGAAATCGCAGAGACAAAAATGACATGCCTGCAGGTAGGTTCTTCTTTCTGACAATATAGCAACCTTTATTTGTGCAAATTGGTAATATCCTAAGCCTGGTCTTGTATGTTTTTGTTCTAATAATGTTATGAACAAATCTTTTCGTCTTAGTTTAAAAGGAAGAGATGCACTTTATACCTTGATTTATATGGACCAAGATCCCGAACTATGTATTATAAATAAATCGTGTGCCTTAGTTTAAAAGGAATGATACACATTTACCATGATTAAAACGGCGAACTATGTTATTGTAACACCATACTGGTCCTTACATATATGTCATCCTTATTATATTATAAACAAATCTTGCTTCTTCATATTAGAAAGAAGTACACTTGCAGCAGGTTGTTTATAGTCGGAGAAACATCTTGGCACCAATAAATCCTTGCTTAAACATAGAGTTTGTATCTTTCTTAGATCTAAGGGTGTTAAAGGGAGGCAACCACCCATCTGTGACATCTTGATTCTTGGTTACCACTTGGTATCATGCTGAATATACTTGGGTCATATTTGGGATTGCTTGAAAGCATCTGGTTTTATTCTAAGAACATAATTTGGAACAGTGAAAGTAAAGGTATTTGGTGGATTCGTTTTGAAATAGAGAATTCTACATTAATGGCATGTTTGGAATTGTTAACTGTTGATGGAGATAGAATAGTAAGACTAACAGTCTTGGTCAAACCAGTTGATTTATTTGCTTCAGATGAAAAGGTATTACAATGCATTCTGCCTTCTTTTCAGGTGGGACTTAGGCAATCATGGCCAAAGGTTCTTTGATTTGCAAATATTGATTAAGAATAGTGACGGATGCCGAGTCCACCAAATAATAAATTCCAACTACAAGCTAAATTACAACCAAAATTGTAATAGCGGTAAGTCGGGTCGAATCCACAGAGACTCGGTTTAACTTACTATGTCTAGAAAAATCAAATACAAAGCGACGACTTAAAAATAATTAAAAAAAAGGGGGGGGGGGGTTTGGATATGATTAATTAGACTAAATATGCGATTAAAAGTTATTATAAACAATTAGAACGAAATCCAACATTAGATCACTCTCGATGATGATGTAAATACTTATCAGCGATCTCGCAAACGTAAAAAGATAGGACAAGCTCAAGTCGGGTATGGTTATCAACAAGCTCTGACAACCTTCGTTTTCGCCTAACTAGACATTAGCTAAAATCAGTTCTTTAGCTAAATCTTAACTACAAGTGGAACAATGAACAAGCTCTCAACATCCCAAACGTAATTAGCTTTAACGAATTAGAAAACACCGACTCAAATAATTAAGCTCATATGCTCGGCTTAATATCACTTTGATTATGAGATTTCAAGAACTCAAATTGAAATCTTTATTGAATTCAAGGAGTTCCATTGTTACCATATCAAAGCCACAAGACAATTACGTATCTAATGTTTTGAATAACACGCATTCATAGGACTGTTAACTAATCGGACTAGTTAATTAACGTTCAAATGAAATTAACGATTAACCTAGAAATTACACAAATAAGCTTGTCCCAAACAATTACAATGACATCTCAAAGTAGGAAAACGTCAAAATCTAAAGTTAACTAATGTTGGAATAGATAAATTAGCAGCACATATCTAAATTGGGTTACCGATTCTAAAGAATTTTAGGATTTACCGTAAGAATTTGACGATAAAAAACCCTCTTCTCCAATCGATCCTCCCCTGCTGTCCGCTTCAGTYTCGCATCCGTATTCCCCAATCGAACAGCCGACCACCAGCTGCTGTCTCACTCTCGGTCTCTCTCGAACCAGCCTCTGCCCTTCACCCTCGCGACTATCTCTTCGACCCAACAGCCTCCCGATTTCTCCTGTTTTTCTCCCCTCTATCGCCAATTGACAGCCCCTTTCTGCTGTCTCTATTTCTCTCGTGA